ATTTCATTTGAAATATTCACACCCAATGATTGTGTTTTTATTAAATAAAAGAACAATTATTAGATATATACATATTTAGATTTTCTTTATAGTGAAAAGAGTTTATTTCAGTTTCTTCAATACACTTTATTGGTGTAATAAAATTCATTTCAAAGACTCTCATATTAGAATATTTTTTTTTCTTCTAATGTACATCCAGAATTGAAAGTGTAAAACATTAAGTCTTTCATATTTTTGATTATTATTATTCAAGGATTAAGAAATTTCATTTATAATTTTAGTTTCTTTAATCTACTTAGAGACTCTTTGTGTATTAATCCATTTAATGATAATATTATAGGTATTATTTGTACATATATTAATTCTCTATTAATTCTTAGTTTTTCTTGTAGTGCTTTTCAGGGACAAATAATAAAATCCCAAAGAATGAAAATAAAAAATAAATAAAATCTATAAAAATGTTTAATTTAATTACGCATGGAAGAATTACCTTATTTTGATGAAGATATACAACCTCAAAAATTAAGAATTTGTGAGAAATGTGGCTTACATCCAAATATTTGTATATGCCAGTTAATTCCTAAAGAAAAAGAACATGATAACTATCCATACTTAATTATACTTCAAGATCCAAGAGAGGCAAAAGTAAAATTAAATACAGTAAAGTTAATTGACAAATATTTTAAACACGTTGAGATATATAAAAAAAACTTACCTATTGAACTTATTGATAAAATTCAACAAAAACCAAATGAGTTTGCTGTTTTATTTCCACGTAAAACAGCAAAAATAATTGATGATGGAAATGATATTTCATTTACACAACAATACAAATATATTATCATTATTGATGGTACTTGGGATCAAGCAAAGTCTATTTATAATAGAAATAAATTACTTCATCAATTAGATACTGTTTGTATTGTTTTTTTTATAAGAATTTTAGTTATAATAAAAATTTATTATTAGTTAATATTAAGTAATGGAAATAATTATTCTCAATACAATGAAATTAGAAAAGAGATTAGTGGTGGAATGTCTACTTTTGAAGCTACTATAACAACAATATCAATTATAATGAAAGAACCATCTATGATTATTGATAGAAATAATATAATGAAAAGATTTATAGAAATGAGAACAAAATATTATGAATAATAAATGAATATTATAGTTAAAAACCCTTTTATAGTTTTTTATATTTTAAAAGAAGAAAGAAGATGTTCAAATAAAATTGAATTAATTTCTTTTGTTTTAATCAAAATCAGATTAGATTACTTTGTTAATTCATCAAATTTATTGTAATCATCTTCTCCTTTTCCAAGTTTTCTTTTAATCATTGGCAAAAGAGCTAAAGTACCGAAGACAATAAGGACTATGAGTAAAGTAGTATCAGCAAGACAAATAATAACAATGAAAGCAATTTCACATCCTGTTTCAAGTGATTCAGAACCAGTAGTAACAGTTGGATCGAAACAATCAATGGTAGCCTCAGTTCCTTTTGGAACAGCAACTAACCACTGACCATCACATTGACTTACAACGTCATACTCTTTATTTTTAGCAGAAACAGAAACAGTCATTTTTTCTGGGAATCCTTTAGCGTTATATATTAATGGAATAGCAACTTCAGCCTTTTCATTTAATTGTTCTTCAGTAGCATCAACAATAAATTGAACATTATCTAAAGCAGAGAAACCAACATTTTCACGAGCATAAACATGTGAAAATGCATCAGAATCAAAGGAAACAGTAAAGACAGTATTAATAATAGCATAATTGGCTTCACTCAAATCCTTTTCACAGATGAAAGAAACAGATTCACTATTTGAACTAACAATTGTAGAATCAGAAATTGTACAAATACCAGCACATCTAAAGATAGTATTTCTAGTAGCAACAGTATTATTTTCTTCAACTTCTTGAGAACCAATTGTTATAGTTGATAAGTTAGCAAGTTTATATTGAATTCTTTGTGATTTTAAAATAACATTATTTGTTTTAAAAACGTCATTAACGTAAAGAGCAAAGGTAAGGTCATAAGCTCTTGTAATGAGCTTTCCAATTTGACCAGTTACATTAACAATTTCTCTAGATGGAGTATTGGTAAAGTCCATTTCACAATCATCTCCTTCACATGGGCACAAAGTATCACAATATCTTTCATAATAAACTGAACCATTTTGATAATTAGTATTATCACTGATATGTTCATCAAAAGTACATTTATTAGCTAAAGCAAGGGCAATGAAGAAAATGAGGAGCATCACTTACTTTTTAAGTTTTTTCGATTTTCTAGTTTAATTATTTTAGTTTTAATTAGTTTTTTTATTATAAATTATAGTTCTTTATTATTTAAACTAAAACCTTCCAAATATTCAAAAGAAGTTCATTATTCTTTTCGATTAAAATCTTTCTCTTTTCCATTGTTGGAAGAAAATTCCAGAATTCTATTCTAAGAACATTCAGGATTTCTTCTTTTTATTTTTATTAATTAAGCTATTATGTTTTAATTTTCCCGATTTAGTACATTAAATAAAAGTAATACATAAAAGATCTATTCAAAAGTAGTGAAATTGAGATATTCCATTTATTCTATTTTATTCATTAAGAACACTCCATTTTTTTCCTTTTTAAAAAAGATTGTTTTTTTCCTATTATATAGTAAAATCTTTTATTATTATAGTTCAATTGCTCAATCATTCAATTATTAATTTCTTTTTCATTTATATTATTTATAATTTATTCATCTCTATATATTTCTGATTTTTCATTTTCAAAGCTTATTGAACCATATGAATCACTTGTATTAAAATGTTCTTCACTTTCATTAGAAAAAATTGAATTTTCAGTAAATAATTTGTCAGTATTACAATCCATATAAATAATTGGTTTATTTGTTTTCATAAAAATGTTTTGTTTCAGGATTGAATGAAATGGATTGTCTAATTCTACCCAATCACAATCATACATTGAAAATTCATTAAGACATATATTTTGAGTGTTCATAAAAGAAACAGATGACTTTTCTAATTTAATTTCTTTAAGACATTGAGGAAGAGTGATAAACAAGTTACCAGAGTTAACAATATGAATAGTTGTTATTAAACCAGATGAAAGATCAATAATATTATTATATTGTAATGAATTAAATTTAAGTGATGTTAAAGTAGTTGGTAATTCAATAAATGTAAAACAACCATCAAGTTTTAAATTCACTAATTGAGTATATTGACTTAATTTACAAGGAAATTCTTGTGATGATGTAATAACCAATTTCTTAATAAATGGAGAACAATAAAGAGAAGGAGTACATTCTAATTTTAATTTAGTTAAACTACTTGGAAATTGAATGAGAGAAGTATTAATAAATCCATTAGTAGTTAATTCTTTAAGATTAGTGAGTTTAGAGAAATTAGTATAATCACCAACACTATGAATTTTTGTAAGTGTAGTTAAAGTATTAATATCATAATTCATTTTTGAGAAGAAAGTACATAAATATTGTAATTTTGGTGGATTAGAAAATGTAACGTTTGAATTATTTAATGAAAGCCAAGTAACAGAATTAGGTATTTTTCCAATATAATGAGAATGATTCATTATTAATTTTGATACATTAACTTGAGGAACAGAAATATCACCAACATAATAGATTGAGTTAGGATAAATTACTGATAACCAATTAATGTCATTTCTAATACTTTTAAAATGATTATAACTTGAAAAATCAATATAAACATGTTTATTATTAAAAATATTACAAAAGGATTTAAGAACAATATTTGAAGGTAAATAAGTATTAATAAAATTACTAATATCTGTTATGGTTTCTGGAAATACTATTTCATAATTACCAAAATAACTTACATAAATATTTGGATCCATTCCAACAATATATTGATAATTACAAAAAATTATTTCATTTGTATGTTTAGGAAGAATTAATTTATTTAATATCTTTGAATCTATTTGAGAACAATACAAAATAATTTTATTTATTTTACATTTTGAAATAATATTAATTATATTATTATTTACTATTTTATAATAATAAATACTAATAAATTTTAATGTTTTAATAGTATTTAATGTTGTAATAACTTCTTCATTTATTTCATTACAAATAATTTTTATTTTTATTAGTTTTATAAATTTATTTAAATTAAATAATTGAAAATTATTATTAATTGTTAATTCTATAATTTTATTTTCAATTTCACTTAATAATGATGGATTTGTACTTGATGTTATAATAATTTGTTTAAATTTTTTTTGAATATATTTTTTAAACATTATTAATAAATTTTCATCAATTCTAATTGTCTCTATTTGTGGAAATAATTTTAATTCTTTTTGAAATTCAATATTTCTTATTAATTTTTCTGCTTTAAAAATACTAGAAATATCTTGTGAAATATTTAATGGATTAACTTTTATCATAAGCATAACATCATAACACTTTTTGTTAATAAATCCAAACTTTTCATTTACTTGAAAATTTTGATTATATCGAATAACAATTGCTAAAAAACATTTCTCTAATTTCATTTTAAAACTATTTGGATTTTCAGTTTTTGTTTTATTTTAGTACTGTTTTTTTGTAAATATCTTCTTTTTTAAATTTTATGTGCTTTTAATGAAAAGGTTATTGAATTATTTATTTTGAACTTCTTTTATAAAACTTTATTGAACCAACAAAAAAACAATAACTCTCTTATCTCTTCTTTTTTTTTAATAACACTTACGTCATTAAACTCAAAATAATAATATAATATAACAAAAAGTTATTTTTATTGTTTTTTTTAGTACAATGAAATAAAATAAATAAAAACATTTCAACTTCATTATAATTGATATACATAATGGAATAATAAAACTCATGAATTGAATTAAATTATATTCTATTAGCTATATTTATTAGAACATTTTAGAAAATAATTAGAACATAATATTAGTTAGAATGTAAATTAATTTCTGAATAAGAATTTGATAGTATGAATTGGATTTATTTTGTTGGAATTACTTTAAATTAAAAATATATATCACTAGTTAATACTCCATATAATGTGTTACTTTAAAATGTTAAGAATTAAATTACTTTAATAAGAATAATTTTTATTATGGATTATTAGTACTTAATCAATACAAAATAATACCATTAATAAGATTATTTATCAAAACAAAATAAAGTATAACAAATAAGTTCAGTACGTTTATTTGTTAAAAGTTAAACAAACTTGATATATTTACTATATTATTATTTATCATTTTAAATAAACATATCTTTGTTTGAATTAAATGTTCATTAATAATATGGACAACTTCTTTTTCATTAAAAGAATTGGTAATGAATATATTAAAATATACCTTACCATTAACAGATAAATATTGTTTTAATAAGTAGAAGAATTTTAATGACATGTAATGAAGAGAAGAAAATATTATTTCAGAAGTTATATTGTTTGATATCTGTAAACAAATGTGTCTGTACTGTTCTTCATTTGACAGAAGAAATTGAAGTGTATCATCAACAATACATAGACAATTATATTAATAACTATTAACAGTCATTATCATAATAGGATCTATAGATACACCAATTATATTAAAAGTTCTATCTTTTGTATTTAATGTGTTAATTGATAGTATGAATATTCCAGTACCACTTCCAAGTAATAATTTATTCTTTCCAAGTCTTTTTTTGTGAAAGAAGTTCAATAACTTTTGCATTATACCCATAATTAAGAATGTTTACTGGAACATCAATTTGATTATTCTTTAACCAAATAATTGACTTGAATTAAAATTGATATTTCTTTTCTTTATAACTTCTGAGAAGTAAACATAAACTACACAAATACTGACATTAAATTTTGAAGGTTAGGTTATTGCCTTTTTACTCTTTTTATCATCCCAAAGACACTAACAAAAGTGAATTTAAAAACAATTCATTATATAACATATCACTGAAATTAAAAAATTAGTGTTAAATCGAACATCTTTATGAATTAAAAAATATAAGTCTATGTTGTTGTTTGAATTAGTATTTATTGACTAAAGGTATTATTGGTAGATGAATTAAATATGTTTTACATATTTTTGTAATTGTATGATAAGAAAGATAAACAATAGTATAGTATCTGATACTTGAAGTTTATATTCTTTCATCATCTATGACTCTTTATTGTTTAATTTTCGTAGGAAAAGATAAAGAAGAAGAAGGAAATGAGAAAATTAAAGATAATTTGATTCTTTTTTTGAAGTAATAGTTAATATATAGTAAAATATATTATAATTAATATACCATTAAATAACAAAAAAAAAGGAAATAAAAAGGGTTTAAATATAGAACTATTCATCAAAATATGAACTTAATAAATCAAAATTCTGTTTAACTGGTTATGTCAAAAAGTGAAAACTTTAAACCATTCAAATTAAATCAACAACAAAATATTAAAAAACCTTTATTTCATAGTAATTTTACAAGTAAATTGGTTCTTGGAAAAAAACCAATTACAATAAAAACACAAAATAATGATTTAAAAAAACCATTCACTATACATCCTAGAAACTTTATATCACATAAATCAAAAGAAGAAATTCATATTGATTCTTTCTCAATCGAAGAAGTTTCACAACATCAAAATGAAGAATATGATATTTCAATTGAGTCATATTCACAAAAAGAAGAAGAGCTCAAAAAGTATATGAAAGATGATGATGAAGAAATAACTCAACTATTAAGTCAGTCAGTATTTAAAAGAACATCAAAACCTTCTGATACTTCTCTTTCTTATGAAGAAAAAAATAATTTAACACAACCATCGAGTGATGATAGTTGGAAAACAGTTAGTGTTCAAAAATTCACTAAAGAATGTCCTCAAATTTATCATTTAGAAAATGTTAATACATCATCATCATTAAACAACCAAATAGAAGATAGTAAATTGAATTCAAGAGTTTTATTAAAAAATTTACAAATACCTATTGAACAAGAAAATAAACAAAATACATACGATTTATCAACAGAGTCTTTTAGTCCAAAAATAACAACAGAGTCATTTGGTTCATTATCATTAAAAGGTATAGAATCATTATTTACAAATAAAATATTAGAACCTAATATTTTAAATAATAATACTGTTTCTTTGGAAGAAAGCCAACATAAAGAAGAACAAAATAGTTCAATGACTATTGAAGAAAATACAAAAGATGAACATAATGAACTTGAATTAGAAGATGTAGTAAGACAAGTTGATAAATACAATGAAGTACAACAGAAAGAAATATTTATTGATGACAAACAAGATAAATGGGAAAGTATGGAAATTACTACTCATCAAGAACAAAAACAGGATGACCACTCTCTTTCTTCAGCAACGGAATTATCTCAAAGATGCTCTATGGAATGGGCTAAAGATGAGTATGAAGAGAATAAACTACAAGAAACAATTCAATCAATTAGAGATCTAAAGAGTGAATCACGTATAGATAATTTATCTGATACAAATAATATTCAAGTAACATTATTAAATAAAGAAGATATTTTAAAACAACGAGATGGGATATTATTCTATAAGAAGTTTAATTCAATTGAACATAGTTCACAAGTTGATAGTGACTTCAAATTTGGTAAACCTAGTAATAAAGAATGGAAAATAGTTACTTATAACAAAGAACCATTTATTATCAATAAAAGTAATTATTCTATTTATCTAGCAACATGTGGTAAATTAGTTTTTTTTGCTATTAAACCATCATCTCCTAATAAATGTCCATTAAAGGTAGAAATAGATGATTGTGTGTTTATTCATAATGACCCTCCTATCTATTTTATCAATGAATGTAATATTATTGATTCAATGTCATTAAATTCAGTTCCATTATCATTAAAACTAATGTATAGTCACCATATTAAAGAAGTCCAAATAATTGCAGAGAAAAAAATACCATGTCTTAATTCAATTGTAAATATTGACTGCGAATTTAATGAAACAATAATACTAAATTGTCAAATTGTACAACAACTCTCATTTAATATTCCAGACACTTTATTTGGAGAAGTAGCGGCAATAGTTAAAGAAGAAGGAAAGGGATATATTTTTATTTTTCCAAAAAATACATGGAGTTATGTTAATGAATATTGTTCAACAGAATCTAAAAGAATGAAAGGAATTTATATAAGAGACTTATATTTAAATTTATCTACAAGTGCAGTACCAATATATAGATTTCAATGTTTAATTTAATACGTTAATTATATGATAGTCATTGACATTCTTCATTAATAAACCTCAAAAAAAAAATTTAAGAAAAAAAGAACTTAAAAAATTTATAAAATAAATGCAAATTGGAATTGATGAAAATGATCCTAATATTCTTCATTTTAATGTTGAAATTGAAGGTGGAAAAACTTGTGATTTAAAGTATAGAATTGGTGACAATGTGTTTACAGCAGCACAAGATTTTTTAATACAAAATAACTTACCACAACATCATCTAGACACTGTCGCTCATTTCATTACAGAAAATACACAAGGACTTAAACCACAAACAACTATTTTACCTGCTTTACAAAGAAAAAAATTCCCTATTAAAAATTATGAAAAATTACAAGAATTACTTAGAGTTGGATGTCGTACTGATAATGAACTTATTGCAATTGCTACAATGGCTCAATTCATTAAATCTGGAAAAGGATTTCATTTAACAATTGAAATGAAAACAGCTATTGCTATTTTACTTGATTATGCTCTTCAAAACCATGAAATATTACCACCACTTTTTGATCTTTTTGGAGGATTATGTCTTAAATGCCTTGATTCTGTTAAATATTTTGAAACTATTTCTGCTTATTCTCAACTTTTTGGTGTTGTTTCTTCAATGATAGATAATGGCACAATCACAATGCCTATTAAAATCATGTTTATCAAATTTTTAGCAAATAGTTTCATTACTACTCCACCTGAAATGTATATGAATATGGTTTATTCAACATATGGTAAATTATTACCTTTTCTGCTTAATGAAATGACTCTTGCTGTAACTAATAATAATTTAAATATGCAAGGAGCTATTGCTGGTGTAGTTTTAAATTTATCAATAAGTGCAATTAATTCAAGTATTGCTGGAATGCTTGCAGATGGGTTATATGAATTAGCATCACAACTTTATGTTATTTCTAATGATGAAACAATTAGAGCAATTCTTTTACTTTCTATTGGTAATTTCATTAAACAAGATGTACTTGCTAGAAATGAATTTATAAAGAAAGAAGAATTAATAACAAGTATTAAAGCTTCACAAGATCAAAACATTCAAGCAATATGGAAAGAGATAAATGAATTGATCTATGGAGTAAGTAATTGAATTTTAACTAGTAAAATAAGATTTAAATTTCACAGTCAATTATATTATTACTTCTCAAATGTTTGTTGTAATAAAGCAACAAGATCTTTAAATGAATTTATTTTGTTAATAGAATAGGATTGAATGAATTGAGAGATTAAGGGTTGGTCATTTCTTCTATCTGAAGCAAGTTGAAGAATAGATTTATGATAATTCAGTCGAAGTTCAAATGATTTTGATCTTGTTTCAAGATCTGATTCAGTGTTATACATAATAAGAGTAATATAATATCTATTATCTACTGCTTCTATTAAATTAAAGTCATAAAGATGTTTAAATTTATCTCTACATAAAGAAGATGTACAAAATGTAATTAATGGCTCAAAGTCATTAACTATTTTAATTGTAAGTGGAGTTGGTTTTTTACACATCAATGCCATAACATTTTTTGCATCAATAAAATTACCACTTTTAAATGGGTTAGAGAACCTAATATTAAAGTAACGAGTTAAACAATCATTGTGTTGACTTTGAGTTAAAGTTGTTAAGAAAGGAACATCATTATTAATAACTGAAGGAATTTTTAAGAAAAGGTCAGGTCGAATAATAATTTTATAACACCTTGCTTCTTGAGTTTTTGTTGGATTAATAAAAACAAATTCAATCATCAATAAGAGATGAATCAGTGATAATAATATTTTCATATATTTTTCCGCTTCAGATATTTTAAATTGAATTGGAATTTGTTTTAATGTATCTCTAAAGACTTCCATAGGGAATTTTTTCTTTCCAATAGTATCTAACCAACGAGAAAAGAATGACATAGTTTTTTCTTCTAATTTAGTATTAAAAGAAAATATCATAACAAAATTTTGTTGAGTTACTTTTTCATTTTCGGTATTAACAAAAATTGTTACAGAAGTAAACTCAGTAATAGATATTGAAACACATGATGTATTAATTGAAGAAAATAATTTTATTAACCCATCAAAATATAATACAAATGATGAAAGACTATTTTGAATACATCCACAATCTTTTAATAATACAGTTTTTCTATTTGATATTTCATTATCTGGTGAATCAATAAAATCAAATTTTATTAATTCATTTAAATGTTGATATTTTTTATCGAGACTAACAGTAAATTGAACAGAATCAAATGTTTCTGATTCAAAACAAATATAAAATCCATTAAATGATATTGTATTTTCATTGAAATATTCGACTTTATCAATAACTTTATTTACAAATGATATTAAATGAATAAATTTAATCAATCTTTTAACATTTCTTTGAACATCTTTTTCTACATCACATTTTGGAACAGATAATTTCATTTTTTTATCAATTAATTGAAATCCTTCTCCACCTTTAAATTTGTTTAAAATATTAATTGAACAATTATTTAATTCAACTATCATAACAAAATTCCTTTCTTCTGGTGGTTGTTCTACAATAACAACAAATGGTAAATTTCTATTTAAAAGAATAAATCCAGTTTTATTTTTTAGAGATGTAACAAGTGTTGATCCTGTTGTAGATATTCCATTAAAAATATCTTTAAAACATTCTAAATAAATCTTTGTTGAATATTTAGTGTATGACTCTTGACAAAAAACTGTTATTTTCTCAACACATTTCATTGAACTAATGTTATTATTAAACACCTCTTTTGAGCATGAACAATAATTAACACTTTTCCCTTTAAATCCAACACAAATTAAATTTTCTTCAGGTGTTTTAGAAATAATAAAACATAAATATCTATTCTCTGATACCTGAATTTTAAATGGTAACCCAGAACATTCTTTATAATTTTGATCTTGTGTATCAATACATTTTGGCCTTAATATTTCTCCTTTAATTTGTTTAAAGTTATTTGTATGATCAGCAATTAATTTTAATGTATCTTCATTTAATATTTCTAAATGCATTTTTTTAAAGAATATCTTTGCTACTATAAATGTTTGTAAATAATGTGCATGTATATAAAGATCTTCAAATAAATAATTACTTTTATCAATATTTGTCGTTGAAAATAAATCAGAATAATAATTTAATAATTTTTGAGAAATATAAGGTGATATTAAATTTATTTTACCTGTAAATGGAGATACAGTAATAGTATTTACTACTGGTTCTTTTGTTTGTCCATTTTTAGATAATTGTTCATTAATCTTTTTCTCATATATTATAGCACTTTCTTTTGAAACTAAAGATAATTGTTCTTCTAATGAAGAATTAAGATTCTATAAATTAGTATGAATATAATTACTTAAATAAATGAAAAAAACAAACAAAGAGTGCTGAAGGTAAATTAGGACTATGATTTATTTCAATTGATGTTGTTAAATTATTTAATCGATATTCTAAACAATAACTATTATTCCAATAAAATATTTGTAAAACACGATCATTATTAATAATAACAATCTTTGATGTTATATGAGGATAAAGAAGTCTTAAAGAAGGTGATTGACTTTCTCGAAATAATGCATCAAAATATTTATTTTTTGAAATAATTATTAATTGATCAATTAATGTTTGGATTGGATTTAATGAATATTCTGGTTGAGTTCTTAAATTCCGATTATGTAAATTAATAGTTTCATCTGATGCAACAGTTTCATTAGGTGTATAAAAATTTAAATGAACAATTTTCCATTTTAATGAATCATTATTAAACAACGCATCTAAATTTGTTATTGTTAACCAAACATTAAACGAATTTCTCACATATAAATATAACATTCCACCAATAACATTAATACTATTACAATCAATAGTATTATGATTTATATAATAATATTTCCATATCCTTCTTTCAATGAGTGTATTAATTTTATTGAAATTAGGTAGACAGACTGGAATGGATGGAAGAGGGTATGTAGCTTCAAGAAGAACTTGAAGTGCAATAGAAATTTCAGGAATTCTTTTTCTCATTAACACATCGTGTTTTGCATTACAAACCATTTTTTTTACCGTTGTATGTAATTGAATAATTGACTGTTGACAAGTCCAATTAAAATTATCAATGTCATGAAGAACAGGATTTCGTCCTAACCACCGTGTCAAAACAAGTAATTTTCCAAGTGTATGAATTCCACATTCTAATACTTGAATTATTTCATCTCGTTCTCCAGAATTAATTCCTTTAGAAATATTATGTGTTAAAGAAGCAATGGTATTTTTAATGATTGTAATGAGTGATCCTGTTTGTATAGTAACTTCCATTGACTGAATATTTAAGTTGTTCTTCTTTTTTATCTTTTTAAATTAAAAAACATTTTTATTAATAATATTTTGTTATATATATCATTATTTATTATTTTAAATTAATTTGTTTTTATTGTATTTTTTTTGTTATTAAAAAAAGAAGAATATTCCGAATAAAATTTTCTCTATGTAGTACAATTTTAAAAAAGTATTGATTTGTTTGTAAGCATTTGAATAAATAATATTAATATTTACTATTTGAAAACAAATAATTTTTGTTTGGACACATTTGTAATACTTCTATTAATGATAATTATTTTTCATTTGATATTATATAACACAAAATCATTAAGTTTTAAAATTGAAAAAATTATTACTTGTGGACTTAGAACTCTAAAAAATAAATAAAACCCAATGTCTTCAATACAATTAGATAAATCATTAATGCCTGTTGTTTGCCAATATATTACAGAACCTACAGACTTATTAAATATCATTCAAGTCTCAAAAAAATTTAGAGAAACTCTTGACAGTTATACCTCTAATCCTATTCCACTCACTGTTAAGAACAGAAAATTATTCACTAATATAACTACTCAAAACATTCATTCTCAATTTGAGATGAGGTTTTTTGATGGTAATATTAAGAAATTTTATATCCTTTATCCAGTAACTTATAACG